CAGGCAATAGAAGTTTCCGTCTTGTCCTCTATTTCGTTTTGGTTCGACAAACCATTAATTAAGAAATTAACTGCGAATACAATAATTAAAATTATAATTTTATTATTAGTTTAGAGGTTGAAATGCGAATTATTGTCGGTAATGCGTTTGTGACCTCAGACACTTGAATAAACTGTTTCCCAAATGTTTCATTACCTATTTTTCAAGATGTGTTCAAAGCATTTTGTTTTAACATTGTTTGTCATTTAGGGAGATGGTATCGACTTTAAACGAAACTTTGTGAATCTGAAACAGGCTCTGAACGATTTCATAGATTCTGGAGCTAGTGAAATCTTTGTCGCTCGAAATATCGAGACATCAGTTCTTAAGTGAGCTGCTACTAAGAAAAGCAACATACTTATATGCATTTTTAGTTATTTGTTTTTTTTTGTTATTTTCAGTTTTCATTTTTTGACCTGTTTTAACTCTGGTTTCGTGCACCGTTGTTTTTTAACTTCTCAGGCGAGAAGATGCTTTTGCATGTATTTATGATTAAACCTTTGGCATTTTCTGCATTTTACCACTTAATTATAAATTTACCCCCCCCGAGTCTAATGAATTATGTTAACGTCGTCCATAGATTCGCCTTTTAATGCAGTTTAAACATCTAAATGCACCCAACTTATTATATGCTGATTTCACTTTTTCGTAACAGTTGAGCAGACTTGCACATAATCACAGTATCCGCAGAATAAATGGATTTCAGAAGACTTCCTGATAGACTCATATTTGCCTGACTCAAAACGTTACACTGCGGACCACTGAAAGAACTACGATATTCAACAGATTCTACAATGAACAAGGCCCGTGAGACAGAAGTCGAAATGTTGTAAGACTAATCACGCGATTAACGGTATTGTTTACGTTATGTACAAATCCAATCAGTTGAAGTCTCCAACGAAGGTAAGTTCACGGGCTGATTGGTGGGCGGTGGCAGCAGCTTCTAGGATACAGTATGGATCTAGTACATGGTCCAACCATAAAGTTAAATGCCTAATGAAACGTTGGGCTAATCAGTCAACAACGAGCAAGGGTTAGCTGATCTCCATGTATTTAGAAAAACAGAAGATATCTCACGAAGTGATATATCCAGTAAGAGAAGGATCTGGGCTGCTGTTCATATTAATCCGCATTATACAAAAATGGCAAAGTTTTTCGTGTTGCTACTTTCCTTAAATGGTACGGCGAACTGGACTTCGCACACTAAGCCTTGAAGCAAATGACAGGGATGTAGCGACCAAAGCAAGAAATAACGTGGTCAGCCCTCAAGTATGAAGGAGTGTACTTACCCTAAGCACGAAGACAGGTTGTAAAGTCTGAAATGGTAGTTGAAATCAGCAATTGATATCGCAATTCATGACGTCTGTGCAGACACCGATTAGAAGCCGTTTGAAAAACCAGAGGGTACATTATTTATATTAGTTATGAAGATTACGTTCTGTAAAAACAGCATACGCATATTTTATATCAAACGCAATTGTATAATATTATGACAGACAATGAAATATGGAGAAAACTACGGCAGGTGAGAACTTAAAATACAACTGTTCTTGCAAATGCGACAGTTGGAATAATTTGTACGTTGACATTCATACTGAAAATGCATAAAAACAACGCAAACAAGCAAGTACAGCTCAATCAGGTGAATGATCAGTACCGATGCTTCAGTTGGACTCTTACGAGCCCTTTACCGGGTTGCCCGGGTTGGTTTCTGCAGTTTTTTGTGCGGTCCGATGTTGTTTTCGCGACTGGAAGCTGTAGGTGCGTATGACTGGTTAAGTAGCAGATGCTAGACCCAAAAACCGACCCAGACCACCCTGAGAGAAGAGTCGAAACGTCGGTTCAGGCCATTCACCCGAGTGACCAACTTATTCATTTGGTTTGTGTACAAATAAACTATTTGTATGCATATTTTAGTTGTCAACTGCGGCTCTTTCAGAGAATTCAGAACATTATTTTAAAATTTAAAGAATGGGAACTTTATTTCATGATATTGTCACCTAAACAGAGGCTTAGATTTACTGAAATATACTAAAGTTAAACAGTCAAAAGAATATGATCGACAACACATTTTCATTAACCCACTTTTTCGCTTCAAAAACTTACTCAAGTCACGCTTTATCTGGTCATGTGACAGAAGTTACGGGCAAAAGTACCAACTTACTTTTCCGTTAAGCAAAAAAGTCTTAATAAAATGCG